TAGGGCCTACACGGCGTATGATGTCAAAGAACTTTTCGAGGTTGAATGAATTTAAAAAAAAATAAAATAAATCGTAGGCCAACAGCAGTGTCTGCTGATGTAACAGTAGTAGACAGCTATTTACATATGTATGTACATACATGGACATATTAGGTAGCAACCGGCTACACGCACAATTGATGTAATAATTAAAATCTAAAAACATAATACATACATAACAACAATGACACTTTAACGTCATCAGCACATAAAGGGCAGGAACAGCAAATAAAAATTAAATTTACATTTAAAATATATACCTACACAAACATGTGCCTATAGTTTATGGCCTAATAGGCGCCTTAGCGTTCTACATGCGTATGTACATATGTACATTTAAATCATCTATATGTGGAATTGATAAACGTTAGAATTCGTTCGTATGTGAACGCTGTTAATATACATACTATGTGTATTTGGAAGCACGTTAACACATACACATCTGTTGTAGAAAATGACGAGTTGAAGGAACGAATTCATGGTCGCTGTAAACAGTGTGAAATCACTTAAAAAGAACAATGCCAGGGGTCGGAGGAGACAGGAGACGGTATACGTACACACATATGTATGTACATATGTATGCACATAGGCCAGTGATCGCCCTCGCCAAAGGCAAGTGACATGGGTAACTAAGAAGACACGACAAGCACACTCAATGAAAATAAATAAATAAAATAAAAGCTACAAATTAATAAAAAGCTCTACACTCGGTATGCATAAGTATGTACATAAGAGTTAAACAAATTCAAACAAACAAAAGCACAACTACAACAAATACATATGTATAAACAAATTTAGCAAGTCAGCAACATTTTAACGAACAGCCGTGTAATAATAAATGAAAAAACGAGTTAAAGCACGCTCATCAGCAAGTGGCAACAATCAGGCAAGACAGAGTCAAGTTCATGGCAAACAAATGTTATTTGAAAGCAAAAAAAAAAAGTTAAATTGTTTTGAACTTGTATATGGGCTTACATACATACATATGTATGTCCATACAGTATGTGTATTCATATGTTTCAAATCGACATGTAAATTAAAAAAATAGCAGCATTTTGCAATGATCGAACAGCGAGAAAAATTTCATACATTGAAACATTGCAGATGACCACAAATTAATTACACTATAGTTGCGTTCCACATGCTTCATGATATTCACGATATTCACGATTTGCAGGAAACAGCTGTTTTCTCCATTAATAAACCTTATGGAAGGTGGTCACCTGGAACGGCTTCCTGTAAAAACCTGCAAATCGTGAAGCATCTGGAACGCAACTTATATAATCGTCAAGTTATCAGACCTGTGGCATTTGACTATTAAACCTCATGTAGAATTTTTCGTTGGATCCGAATATTAAGTCAAGACATAAAAAGTTTAAAAAGTTTTAAAAATATAGGCGCATTTCGTGGTTTGAGATCAGAAAAGGTGCACCCATTTAATAGCAGTTTTTTTGGGTATAGTTAGTTGGTCAATCTCAAATTTCTTGTTGCATTAGTGAATCTTAAGAAGTTTGCCATTATCTATGTCAACCACGTTTTCCAACAGGATTAGTGGTTTAGGAGAGCTATTCATTATTTTATGTACAACTAAGCATAATTTTTAACAAAATTTCCAAAACACTTAATTTCGGCATAAACATCAGTATGAATAAATATGTTTGCTTCCGGTTCCTTTCTAACACTTTGACGTGTAATCTTTTGGAAATTCAATACCCTACTTATCTAAATTAAATAATAAATGTTCATTAATTATTTAAGTCATTCATTAATTATTTAAAGTTTCAATAAATTGTGACCAATTTAAGGCTGCCCACTATGATTCCACTGATATTAGTCCCAGAAGACCACTCAGGGCAGTGTGGAAAATTTGAACAGCTACATAAATCGGTAAGTATCAAGTTAATACATACATATCCAGGCTCGCCAAGTGTCCTGAAAAAATCAGAATCCTTCCGGTTACGTAGGCCCGAGTGTCGTCAAATGTGCAACGAATCTCGTCCTGCGCGATGAAACGAACACGGGCGTTTCCTTCCTTCCCATCTCATCCGCCATCAAGGTTTTTGCAATATCACTTGTAACCTGGTATCCCAATAAGTTTAATTAGATAACTTTGCGACTATTTTGGAGCACACTTTGAGTGAGACTGGATTACCGCTTGTTTAACAGATAATCTCTCATATCGACACCATATGTATCTGAGTTTGGCCGATAGTTCATAACAGAAGATAGCTTCCCGCTCTAGCGTCGGCTCTTATGAATAAAAGTTCATTGGTCCTATCTTAAAACTTCTGCTTCCTATCCAATTATCAGTTGAGAGGATGTAGGTAAAGAAAGAGCTGCTTGTAGCTCCTTTCTCAGTGTTGGTTCAAAACTCAAGTTCAAAAACTCGACTAGTAAAACGTACTCTGTAGAACGCACGAAAGTAAATAGTTCTGCAATTTTTTAATTATTTTTATATTTTGTCGGGATTTTTTGTCGGGATTTCTTGTCTGGATTGTGTCTTGTCTGGATTATGTCTGTTCGGGATTTGGTCGTGTCTGGATAATGTCTGGTCGGGATTTGGTCGTGTCTGGATAATGTCTTTCGGGATTCTGTATTTCGGTATTTTGTATATCGGGATTTCATTATACACCCCTATACTTATATTGTACGTATAGGTACATACATACATACATATCTCAGTATAACAGGATAACAACTCCATATAACAACAGTATAAACTCCATATATTAACTATCGAAAACTAATAGGTATTTCACGGATGTCCTCTAATGTAATGCAGTTATAAAGACAATATAAATGGTATTACTGGATATGTTTCTGTGGTCAAATGGAATAGAAACTTAAGTCGGGAGCCTGGCTTTAGTATAACGTGCCATTCGCTGGCTTAGATTGCGAATGGCGCACTTATGCAAAGCTATTGAAGAACTCTTGTCAAATAAACGAGGAAGGCATAGTTCTGATGCTAGCCAGTCAATATTCTCATTAATGCTTATCCGAAAAATTCCTTGTGGTTTGTAGAATAAAGGGAATGGTGTATTTCATTAAAGCCAGCCTTCTGACTTAAGCTACTATTCCATATGACCACAGATTT